AAGAGGTGTGCTTTGGAGGTTGCTTTTAAAGTGAAGAGCAGCTTTCTGAGTACCAGGAGTCCAACAAGGCTCATGAACAATGACAGATGCTTTGGTACTTTAGAGACAGAACAAGGCTAGGGCTTGGGGTCCTAGCTTTATAGTCCAGGGACAGATTGTTGGCATTACACAAGAATCACGCTGGCCAGCCCCACCCAGCATGGGTTGATTCCATGTAAGTGCTGTGTGCTAAAAAGGAACAGTCTGTCTTAGAACCACAATGAATTGCTCAAGTGGCAGCTGTATAGACAAGTGAAATATCAGTGATCCAGAGAGCTAGATATAGGAAAAAGTGACTTAGGGTTTGTGAAAATGTCATTAATCTACTGAAATATGATCTGAGGATCTACTTTAGAATACAGAAAATATTTCTTCCTCATGCCTTCAAATGATCTTATCTCTGAAACACAGAAGTGAAAGATGCCTGAATACAATTTAGAAAATATTTTGACTTCTGTAACCAAATTGCTATGTTAGCTCCCACAAAATCACTGGTAGCATACTTCCTATACAAGTTCTAATACAAACAAATGCTTATTCATTTGTATCATCCAGAAAATGAGCAGCTATATGGTGACACACCTAGAATCACCACCCCCTAAATCAAACTCAGTCATTGTAGAGTCACTGGTTTTATATCTTTCCAGATTTTTTAAAAGGAAGCATGGCTTCTCAACAGTTTAACTCTACAAGTTCTAGGCTATATGTCATTTTGGAGGGCTCCAATATGCGAGCTTTTCTTTCTTTCTAAAGTACCATGTCTGTCAATCACCCTGTCATTCAGAATTAAGATAATTCTGTCAACTGAAGAGCACAGAACAATGGTGATGAGTTTTTGTGTTCAAACACAAAGCATATCACGTCACATTTCTCCCTAGGGGAGCAATTTTCCTCATTTAACAACCATTTTAGCTTTGCAGGTAGATATTTCAATTTATCAGTTAATGAGTATTTTCCCCAAATTATTCACTCTTCATCCTTCTCATACCTGCCAGGGCAGTAAGTAGATCATGATGTGGACAATGATCAGCAATTCTCAAGAGGGTGGGGCCACTGCTCCAATTTATCTTTACAGCCTTTCGTGGATGGTTTTGTTGTTTTTAATGACTACCTAGATTCCTTGTGAAGCTGCCTACAGACACTCATTTTAAATGTTATAATTACTATTTTGAGGAAATATAAAATATGGAAGCATTATTGATCATTCTGTCAATTCAACATTGACTTAAAATTAATTACATCCACACGTGAAACCATTTATCCCACTCAGCAAACATTCCTCACATTATCAATCAGAAGCACTGTGGCACCTAAAAGAAAGTCTGAAGTAAATCGTACTTTCCTACTAACTTCCATTATAAAATGAGAGGCATATTACCAAAGAGAGCTCTCAAATAGACTGAGTTACAAATCTTAGGTGAAAAAGACAGTAAGATGGTGGCCAGCCCTGTGGCAGTTCATTTGTTTCCTGATCATCTGAAAATCAGGTAGCTATTCCACTGGTCATGTCTCTCATCTTCATGACCACAGGGATGTCTCTCTTGTTAGTGAAGTTACCTACTTCTATGCTTTGGGACTTCTAGACTTTGCCCTCTTCCTTCTTGCTTTGATCTGGGCATTTTTCATCCCTTTAATTAGGAATTCTATTGCAGTAACACACTTCACCAGTGGGGTTCAATTCTCAAACTGTACTTCCACCAGAAAAGCCCTGTGTTAGAGGCTTCTGCTTATATAAAACATACTCATTATCTATCTTTGACTTTAAAATTCTCTATTAAAATTCTGTAATAATCTCCTTGTTTTCCCCTGTGGCATAAACATACATAGGACTTTGCATTTCAGGTTAAAATTAGATACTTATGGTGAATAGGATATTTCATTCTTAGAATAAAAGTTGTACCTCTTTGACAGTGTGAAATTTATCAAAGTGAAGCATATATTTTCATAATATAGACTGACTTCTCAAAAAGGAAATTTGCAATATAAATAATCACTTACAAAGAGAAAAGACTTCCCCATAATCTTATAAATAGTGATTGTATATTCAATATGATCCTAGTTACATAACCAAATATACAGATTTATAGATACATGCATGGTCAGAGAATGGAAAGAAATATTTCAAAATGTTATGAAGTAGTTATTTCAGAATGGTGCAATTATGAATGACTTGCATTTATTTCTCTATACTTTTTAATTTTTAAAAATTTCTTCTTCAAGAAATTAAAATTACTATTACGGACAGTCAGTGTGTATATATACATATATATAAGGTTTATTTCCCATTTTTATTGTAGTAAAATACACATAACATAAAATTTGTCATTTTAACAATTTTAAAGTGTACAATTCAGTGGCATTAAATACATTTACAATGTTGTGCAACCACCACCATCTTGTTCCAGAACTTTTTCATCACTCCACATGGAAACCTTGTACCCATTAAGCAGTCACTTCCCATTCACCCCTCTCCCCAACTCCTGGTACCCGCTAATCTGCTTTCTATCTCTATGTAGGTTTGCCCATTCTGGATGTTTCATATCGTGCAGTATGATGTGGTCTTTTGTGTTTGGTTTCTTTCACTTAGCATAATGTTTTCAAGGTTCATTCATGTACATTGCAGTATGTATCATTTCTTTTTATGGCTGAATAATATTCAATTGTATGAATATATCATATTCTGTTTTCCCATTCATCTGTTGATAAACATTTGGACTGTTTCCACCTTTTGGCTATTGCAAATAATGCTGCAATGAACATTGATGTGCAAGTTTTTGTTTTAACACCTGTTTTCAATTCTTTTGGGTAGATACCTAGGAGTGGAATTGCATCAATATATAATTTTTTAGAATGCCTTTAATTCTACTTTGGCATTCTGTGTTTAAAGTAACAATGCATTTTCAGAATTATGAAGGGATAACCCTTAGAATATCATTCCTACAATAATACCATTCCATTTTCAATCACTGACTACTTTTTAAGACCAAATCACATTCTTGTACTTAAAAATGTAATTTTCACCCTTATTCATTGGGAAAAAATTTCTCTTATGCTAAATACTTGAAACGATGATGAACTAACTGAAAAGGACTGCTTTTTCCTCTGAGCATAGCCATTCTGGCAGTACCTAATTCACTTTCAAATACTTATATATTGAAATACAAAAACTATATGTATTTTTTTCTTTTTTTCCTCAAAATTTGGCTGCTGAGAATGAAATATATGCATTTTTTGTTTCAAAAGGAAAGCATCACTTAATAGACCCCAATATTTAAATCCTAAAGAATATATTAAACACACAATACCAAGTAGAAGCAATGTAGAATCTTCTAAAAATTCAAGCTGGCAGATGGTGACCAAAGAGGATAAATACACCCTGAATGAGTACACAGTACTAATTCTTAAGGGCTTTACTTCCCACCCTCCTAAGAGAAAGATGATACATCTCATGAACATAAGAGCCCAGTAATATCAAGGTTAATTTTAGCTGTAGACAGTGCTGGAAGCAGGCTAAAGAAGATGATGGTGTACTCTGTGCTTACCCATACTTATAACAGCTGTTGGATTCTCCCATTTTTCCTTCCCCCAAAACACATATATAGACACATTTATATATTCATGTATGTGATACACAGACAGACACACACATGCCAGAACTATATTTCCAACTCAGTGGCTACAAGGGTAGACTTGTAGCTCAGTCATCCCCTAGATCTCAGGCTTTTCTCCCATAATCACTTGCACTCCCCATCCCCTCCTCACCAGTACACATACAGTACCCTACAATGCAGAAAGCAGAAATAAAATTCTGGCTAAAGAAGAGGAAGTAGCAACCTTAAAACAGTAATATATGTTAATAAGTAGGGGACATGATTTGGGACCATTTAAAAATAAAGTACTGAGGAACATTTCCATAAGTTGGTAGATTTCTCTTTAAGAAAAATCAATAGGACCAAACTTGTAGAAAACAATCAAGCAGAAAATTTCAATAGGACAAAAGGTTTTACACATTCCAACTTTGCTAGGATCAACACTATCCATTTATATATACTGTGTATATCGCTGAATTCCCATTGTTTCATTCTCATAGCGCTTGTTTCTTCATACTTCATATATACATTTTTCTCTCTGCTACTAGACTATAAGATAGATTCTTTATGGCAGGGACCAAATCTTACCACTTTTGTACATGTAGCACAGTGCCTGGAATACAATAGGCATTCAGTAATATATATGGGCATGTTTGTGTGCAAAATTTCAAAGACCCATAGACATAGACCTACACTCAACTATCCTCCAAACCACCAAACCAAATCATGGTGAGAACCTTTGAACTTCATTAACAAACCAACCCCACATATTAAATAAAAATAAAAATATGATCAATATAAGTTACTCTGATAATAACATTGCACACAGATACCCTAGATAGAACCTTAATATTATTTGTTAATGTGTTTAACAATGTTTGGTTACATTAAGGTAGCAAAGGATGAATTAGCATTATTTAACTCTAGTTAACCAACACCCTGTTATTATTATGAGCTGATTCCCCCCAAATGGTATATTATCCTAACTCACTCTTGCCTCTTGTGTCTGAGATGTAACCTTTGATCAACTAATCATTTGGTGGCAGTTATATTAGAATGCACTGGAATGGAAATAAGAGGAGAAATAAATTTCAGTCAGTCCTTCCTATAGTTATTAACAGCTTTTATAAGGTGCAGGATTAATGAAAACCAAATTCAGTTGTGGGAGTATAATAGCACATGGCACTTTGTCCTTTAAAAAAACTCCTTTACCCATATCTCATTGTTAAACTGTGAGGTTTATTTATCTATGTCACTCTTGATCTCCATTATAATACAGAATGGGTTGAAAAATTTATTTTCTGGACCTAATTTTTAACATCTACTCAGGAGTTACCTTTATTGTTTTTTAAATTTTTTCTATAGTCTTACCTCCCAGTCCAAATAATCACAGACATCTTCAAAGTTAGTGAGCAGAGACACTGAGCAGAAAAGTCGTGGCAGCTCATCCCTTGTCATTGGGGGGAAACGGCTATCTTTAAGGGCACTGTTGAAAACAAAGCAAATATTAAAGCAATCACTGGATATGAAAGTTCCTAATTTCAAATGCAGATAATCATTTGAAAAAGGTAAGAAATTCAAAAAGAATCAGTAAGTCAAAGGTACCAATAATCTTCAAATGTATTCAAAGCTCCAAAGATTTTAGAAGTCATCACTTCTTTTATTTAATAGATTGTGTCTGTTAGCCAATCTTGCAACCACTTCACTGGTAAAGAGTGAATGATCAATTCTATTTCCTGTACAGCCATTTCCTAATGTCTTTCCCTGTTAACTTGTACAATCTGACAATATTTTATTTTACTTTTGAGGAGAATAAAAACCAGACTAGTGGAAACTTGTGGTAAGGCTTCTGGATCTAGTGCTAGTGGCAGTAAAAAATAAATAAATTATGAGTGTATGTGATATCATATTGTAAAACAAAAAAAAAAACTTATACTAGTTGGCCAGTCATCATAGAATAGCACTCAAAGAGTTCAAAGAAAGATCAAAATTTCTTTTCTTCAAGGAAAAGAAAAAATCAAAGAAAATGAAAATAATCAGGCAAATTATAGACTAAAAATACAAGGATTACAGGGCCCCTATAAAGGATAATTTAAGATATGACTCAAAAATTGTGAAACTGCAGGAAATAGGGTTAATCTAGGAGACCATTAATCACATCAATGGATTTCTGAGTACATCAACTCTGATTGGATCCTGTAATCAAGTGCAGTATATCACAGTGCCAAACTCTAGAAAAACCCCACTGTAGAATATTGGAAGACCATAATTCTTCCTGCAACAGAATAGACAGAAAATACACACACACACACACACACACACACACATGGACGCACACACACACGGACGCACACACGCACATACACACACACTCATTGTGTGTTCTTTGTACTTAAAAAATAAACACTTCCTGATTGAGAAAAACAAAGACCTCTGATTGTCCACCATATTAATGGCACTACTGGCATTCATGACATCCATCTTCAAATGTCCTACATAGCAGCCAGGCTTAGAAAATGTTTTCACAAATTAATCCTTAAAGGTTACAAACTCAGACCCTACAAACTTCTTGGGTCATAACAAAGTTCTGTGGTCTTCAGAAAGAATTTAATTCCATTTTCAGTGACTTTCTCATTGCTGAATTTTCTTTTTTTCATTTTCTCATCCCTTCCTTTGCATTCTGAAACTCATCCATTGTGTTTGTATTTGCAATGTATTTTGGTGCTCATTCTATCCTGCTATACAAAGGAAAATACCTATAGGAAGATATAGAGATATGATATATTTATAAAGTATAAATTTTTATCCATTCAAGGAACCCAGATTAACCAAAGACAATCAGGAAATCTGTGATAATTCATACTCTGAGAATAGCATTTCACTATTTTATAATTTAATGACAAATTTCTTATGGTTTGGCTTCTTTTATTTTCCTACTAGCAAATAAAGTTTTAAAAAATACTTTCAAGTTCTAATTCAAAGCCAAGATAAAGACATGTGTGTTTATATACCCCCTCCCCCAACACACACACACTCACACAGACACACACACACACACACACACACACACACGAGCAAATTCTAAAGCACAGACCAGAAGAATCCTATGTACAAAAAACAAAAAGGCCAATTACATTTTTGGTTAGAAGAGAGGAAAGGAACTCCTATTTATTAGAATAATATAAAATGTAATGTTTTGGGGGTTATGGATTTTTATTATATAAAATATGAAATTCACTATTTTAACCATTTTTAAGTATATAGTTCTATAGGATTAAATATATTTATATTGTAGTGTGTCCATCACCACCATACATCTCCAGAACTTTTTTATCTTCCCAAATTGAAACTCATTAAATACTAACACCTCATTCCCACTTTCCCCTAGCCCCTGGCATAAAATGAAATTTAAATACATTTTTATAATTTCAGATAGTTATATAATATAGTCACTAATGTTTTTATCTATAACAGTTTTTACTGAGATATAATGCACATACCACAAAATTCACTCTTTTAAAGCATACAATTCAGTGGTTTTTAGTATATTCACAGAGTTGTGCAACCATCACCATTACTCAATATTGGAACATTTTCTTCACCCCCAAAAGAAACCCCATATCCATTAGCAGTCACTGTGGAGTCACCCCCCAGTTCCTGGCAACCACTACTCTAATTTTTGTTTCTATTATTTTGCCTATTCTAGACATTTCATGTAAGTGAAATCATACAATATATTGTCTTTTGTGTCTGGCTTCTTTCACTTATCATAATGTTTTTGAGGTTTCGTCCATGTTATAGCATGTATCAGTACTTCATCCTTTTTAATTGCCTAATAATATTTCATTGTATGGATACACCACACTTTTTTACCCATTGATGGACTGATGGACATTTGGACTATTTCCACTTTTTGGCTATTATGAATAATGCTGCCATGAACATTCACATATGAGTTTTAATGTGGACATATGTTTTCAATTCTCTTGGGATTGGTGAGTCTTAAAGGAAAGTCTATCTTTAACTTTTTGAGGAACCAACAATTTCTTAGAATGGCTGCACAATTCTACATTCCCACTAGCAATATATGAGGGTTCCAATTTCTCCACATCTTCACCAATGCTTATTATTGTCTGCTCTTTTGATGATAGTGCTAGGCCTCCTTTAATCAAGTGCTTTTTGTAGCTAGCTCTAGATTTTTCATTTAAAAAATTATACATACTGCAGTTGTTCATAACGAAGTTAGTTTTTCAACACCTTGAGGCAAGTTATTTTGTTTACTTTATTTCCTAGCAGACCATAAAAAGGTAAATTTTAGCTCAGTACAATTCAAACTATTTCAAGTCAATGAAATTTTCAAATACCTAAAATGTAACTGAGGATCTGGCTAGCAAGCTTTTCTCATGATATGGAGCCTTGTTGTTCAATCATTCGAGGCTTAAAAAAAAAAAGAACGTTTAGAACAAGGAGTACGTGGGAAAATGTTAGCACAGTTAATGGGAGAAAATGACGATGCCTCACCATGCCAAGATTCAAATGTATTAACTTCAAAGCTCTGAAATAGTAAAGGTATATGAGTCATGATGGAAATAGTCTGATTTTACAGAAACATTCAAACTAAGACTTTGTTTTTTTTTATTTTTTTGGAGACAGAGTCTTGCTCTGTTGCCTGGGCAAGAGTGCCATGGCGTCAGCCTAGCTCACAGCAACATCAAACTCCTGGGCTCAAGTGATCCTTCTGCCTCGGCCTCCCAAGTAGCTGGGACTACAGGCATGCACCAACATGCCCAGCTAATTTGTTCTATATATTTTTAGTTGTCCAGATAATTTCTTTCTATCTTTAGTAGAGACGGGGTCTCCCTCTTGCTCAGGCTGGTCTCGAACTCCTGACCTCGAGCAATCCTTCCACCTTGGCCTCCCAGAGTGCTAAGATTATAGACGTGAGCCACCACACCTGGCCCAAACTAAGACTTTTTTTTTTTTTTTTTTAGACAGAGTCTCGCTTTGTTGCCCAGGGTAGAGTGAGTGCCATGGCATCAGCCTAGCTCACAGCAACCTCAAACTCCTGGGCTCAAGCAATCCTCCTGCCTCAGCCTCCCGAGTAGCTGGGACTACAGGCATGCGCCACCATGCCCGGCTAATTTTTTCTATATATATTAGTTGGCCAATTAATTTTTTTCTATTTATAGTAGAGACGGGGTCTCGCTCTTGCTCAGGTTGGTTTCGAACTCCTGAACTCAAACGATCCACCCGGCTCGGCCTCCCAGAGAGCTAGGATTACAGGCGTGAGCCACCGCGCCCGGCCCCAAACTAAGACTTTTGATTCTTGCATTTTTCATACCAACTCTAAGTAACACATGAAACTCATAGCATAGAAAAATTCCAAAGGTAGGAAGTCCTCAATGTCTCTAAATGCAAATTCCTAGGGAAACAAACTAGCAATGAAAGCCTAGCAAGGATTTAAGGGATTATAAAAAGATGAAAATGCAGCTGTAGATTGACCTCAGAGCAGCCAGGCTAGTATGGATAGCTGATAAACAAGAGGATTCAGCTTTTCTCAGCCAAGTTTTCTTTAGTATATAGAATTTGCAATGTTGAAGTTGGGCCTTTAGAGAGCATACTATAGACCAGAGTTGGACAGTGACTTGCTCAAGGTAACCTAGCTAAGTTAGTGACAGAGGTGGAGATACAACCCAGATTTTCTGACTCAAGTGACACTTTAGTTGTCACAGTTCAATAGATTATTTTTTAAATTTTAAAATTAAATGCTTGCCTTACTTGCATATTCTGATTTCATACCTGCAATGCCTCTGCGTAAAGATGCTAAACAATAATTCGATAGCATTCATTAGTAGCTAAAGGATAAACAGAGCTAGACTTCCTGTCTATTGGAAATCTTCAGGAGTAAAAAGGATTTTAAAATATTAATATTGTCCATGGAAAGCATTTTATACCAAAGTAATGTCTGCTAATTTAAATTCCAGGCAGTCTAAGGAACTGACAAAGGGATCTTGTAGTAAATTCATATGAATTTCTCTTTGCTAGAATAGGAAGCCATTTTCTAATATTTAAATACTGCTAGGAAAAAACCCCTAAAACAAAACACTTATGTTCAAAACTAGTCAGTTGCTCCATCACCCATATGACAGATGAGCAAGGTTTAAACAATAGTTCAGTTCACATACCAAATTCAAATATGTTCAATTCAAATTGGCACCTTCCCAGGAATACACTTCACCAAATTGAGAAGCAGCATTAACATCTGTCAAAGTTAATATCTAATGTTAAATAGTACTTTAATGAAAATGAACATTTTAAGAAAGAAATTAAGAGTTTAGCTTTCAAAGAATCAAAGGGTTTGTGACAGTGCCTGGAAATTATGATAAAAAGAAAAAAAATACAGCTGAAAAGAGGCAAAACCTTAGATATTACAAGGCTCATCATAAACAAGATAGAATGCAACAAAAATGACTTAAGTGAATCTGT